CTTCCTCCCCTCATGTTTCCAAGGACCACTGACCTTTCTGTTACCGTAGATTAATTTGCTTGCTGAATTCTATATAAATGGATTCACAGAGTAGTAACTATTGTCTGCCTTCTTCTGTTCAGCCTAATGATTGAGATGCTTCAGATTCATCCATGTTGTTGCACTTGTTTATGGAAATTTGGGTAATATTCCGGTTTTGATTATTATAAATAAAGTAACTTATGAACATTTTATACAAGTCTCTGTGTGGATGTTTTTGTTTTTCTTGGGTAAATACTTAGGAGTGGAATGGTTGGGTTATATGTTTAGCTTTGTAAAAAACTACAAAATTGCTTTCCAAAGCAGTTTAACCATTTTACATTTCCACCAATAGAGTTCTAGGTGAAGATAGGGAGCCAGGAAACAATAATGGCAAAATAGTTAAACCAAATCTACCGTTCTGGTTTCTGTTCCAGTTTGACCTTATGGCAAATAAAAAGAATAACTAGCTGTACAATGTCCAAAAAGAAAGCTTAAGACTGATTTAGTAAGAGCCCTAATATTTAAAAGAAGCCAAAGATTAAATCTATCTATGTTGATTTCTCACTACATTCTCACCCAAACTTGGTATAGTCAACCTTTTTAATTTCAGTCAATCTAGTGCATGTACAGTGGTAGCTCATAATTTTAATATGCATTTTTCTATCCTGCTTAAAGCTAACACAAGGCTGGGCACAGTGGTTCACACCTGTAATCCCACTTTGGGAGGCTGAGGTGGGAGGACTGCTTGAGCTCAGAAGTTCGAGACCAGCTTGGGTAACATAGTGAGAGCTGGTTTCTACAATGTGCTGCTACATTCCAGCCTGGATGACACAGCAAGACCCATCTCAGGAAAAAAAAAAAAAAAGCCAACAATAGGAAAACTTGGATTTGTGTGTGTGTGTGGTAATTTGAGGTTTATGCTATAAACCTGGATTTAAACAAACTCAATTAGAATGAACAGAATATTATAAAACATTTGATAAGAGGGACTGCGCTTATATTTAAATGTGACAATAATATATATAAGTTTGTTTTAAGTAGGGAGAGGAAGAGTTGAGGATACATTTGGAGTGAAAATTAGAGGGATTCCTTTGAGTTCCAAAAGTAAATTTCAGGAGAAGTTGTGAACTCTCCTTTTCTATACCTGAAAAAATGTTAGAGGAAGTGAGGTTCGACAAACTATTTGAATGATGACAAGGAAGATGGACTGACAGGCAAAGACTTAAGTCTGTTTTTTCTAAGTTTACTTTTTTCCAACATAATTTTCAATGTTTTTATTTTGTGGTCTATACACCTAATATAATACAATATCATATGAATTACAATGATGTGAATGAACACTCCTAAAGAACATTCTAAAGTACCTAACAATATCATATAGAAACACAGGACTTAAAAATAACTTTTAATATCAAAGTGGAAGAGGATGAAGCAAGTAATTTATTGATTTCCTTTAGAAAAGAATTCTAAAGGTAATACCTAAAATATATTAATACATGCATGGTTTGAGCCAGGACAGTAATTGCATATTATAAAAAGGTACCTTAAGAGAAAGATATAAAAAGAAAGTTCCACAAAATTTCACTTGATTGAATTTCCATACAGAAGCAATGAGGATAAAAATAGTTGTTCCCTGGCCGGGCGCGGTGGCTCAAGCCTGTAATCCCAGCACTTTGGGAGGCCGAGATGGGCGGATCATGAGGTCAGGAGTTCGAGACCATCCTGGCTAACACGGTGAAACCCCGTCTCTACTAAAAAATACGAAAAACTAGCCGGGCGAGGTGGCGGGCGCCTGTAGTCCCGGCTACTCGGGAGGCTGAGGCAGGAGAATGGCGTAAAAACCCAGGAGGCGGAGCTTGCAGTGAGCTGAGATCCGGCCACTGCACTCCAGCCTGGGCGACACAGCGAGACTCCGTCTCAAAAAAAAAAAAAAAAAAAAGTTGTTCCCTACACTTCACAATTTATCCATTATCATAAACATTTTAATAAACATGATTATAAAGATTATAAACTTTTCTATTAATAAAATTATCCAAACTATACACCTGAATATAATTACCTTTGATTGATAATTTACTTTATATGGGAACAAACAAACATACCACAAACTTCGAAATATTGCAAGAGTCATTTGAAGATTTTAAATATTTTTCAGCCATGGTTTATACCTTTATTGCACTAAAAAAAAAAAATCAGAGAATTTGGATAAAAATTGAAATGCAAAGACTAAAAGGATCCAAAGCCTGGATCTTATGTAAATTCGTCCTTGGTGAAAGTCAGGCACACGTAAAAAATTCTGCTAAGAACATCCTAACGCCAAATAAGACATAAAAGGATATAATATGCTGAAATTATACATAGGATAGCTAGTATTAATGAAATAGATACTTTTGAAAGAGATACCTTCACAGTGGATGACTTCCAGCTAGGGCATGCAAAAGTAATGAACCAGGTGCTCCTAATACCCCGAAATAACCAGACTCTTTACATATTTTCAGTTTTGTCTATAGAGTAAATCAATATAGATTTACTTAATCTATAGTTCTCCCTAAGTATCAGGGCTCTTATTAATTCAATAACTCTTAAGCATTATTTTTGGCCTCGATATATCAATATACCATCACAACATACACCTAAGTATGCTTTTTATCTGCTATAAGCACAAACTGGAACAGAAACTAAAAAGGTAGATTTGGTTAAACTGTTTTGCCATTATCATTTCCTGGTTTGGAATGAAGTTAAGAGAGTTCTTTGAGAGCAAATCTAGGATCAATAGCTTAAAGTGATGAGAAGACATTTAATTTGAACAGAAAAAAATATTTTTATATCAGACATTTCTAATAAGGAAATTATTTACCCCTAGAAGAGATGTTTTTACTAGATTACAGGTTGGACTACATTATTTCCAAAGTGCCTTCTTGTTTACCATCTTATATCATATAAAACGGGAATTTTAGGGAATGAGGAACCCTCACATGAGCTTCTTTGACCCTAAGATAAAATAAGTGAATAACTCACTCAGGTGACTTGTCTGAGTCAATGTTATACTCCATAAGCATAGTAATTTTTTTTAAAAAAAGATATGATTCATGTTGGAGTTAAGAGTGAAGATTAGAACCAGCTACTATTCTATTTAGAATGGATGTCTACTTTCTTCCCTATCTAGCTCAATCCAATTAATCCTTCAATGTCCAGAACAAATCCTTCCTTCACCATGAAAACCTTCTTAATATACCCAGTTCATGGTGAGTTAGTCCTTCCTCTGAATTCAGAGTTCTATTCTCTATGCCAGTAATTATTATTATTAACCAAATAGCCATTTACTGCATCGTGATCTTTCTTGAACTGTTTCTTACACTATTTCAGTTTTCCATGCTTACATCTTGTCTATTCAGTCATACCATAAGCTCCCTGAAGACAGGGATCATATCTTATATTTCTCTGTATGTCCCATAGCAACTAATAACATTTTGTGTTTTGACTATTCAGAATTGGTTGAATAAGAACAGAAAATTACAGATTACTTTGAAAACTGGGGAAGGCAAATTTGGGAGATGCAAGCATAAGAAAAGAAAAAAGAGCAAATAAGTAAAAATAATACACAGGTTAGTAGCTAGAGTCAACCCTGCATTAGGAAACAAAAACAAAAACAGAAAACAGTCTGTTGAGTTAAAGACAGTAAGGTTCTGGACCAAGCTCCATGTATACTTAAGATGAGAACCATTGATATAGGGGATAACTGTGTGACACTGCCAGAATCTGAGAAAAGGAACATTATCACTGAAGTGAAGTGACATTACAATATTTTTTCCACACCTTTAATTTTATCTTTGGCACCTGAAAGAGGTCTTCAAATAGCAACTCCAACTGACACCAGATGGTACCTGTTGGAGCCTAATGCCGGGCTACGGCCAGCAAACCAAATAAACATCACTATTCATAAGACCACAGTTAGAAGTTGAGCATCCCTTATCTGAAATGCTTGGGACCGGAAGTGTTTCCAGTTTCAAAAACATCTGAATATTGCACACATGTAATGAGATCTCTTGGGGATAGGACCCAAGTTTAAACATGAAATTCATTATGTTTCATATATACCTTATACACACGGCCTGCAGGCAATTTTACGTAACACTTTAAATAATTCTGTGCATTAAAGTGTTTTTAAGTACCTACATGTGAAATTTTCCACTTGTGATGTCATGTTGGTGCTCAAAATGTTTCGGATTTTGGAACATTTCAGATTTTGGATTAGGGATGATCAACCTGTACCTTGGGAAGCATCTATTTCTTTAACACAGCTCTAAAAGAACCATGGCTTCACCAATTTTTCAACTCCTATTTAGTATATAAAATACCCTTTTACATTCAAAAATACCAACTTGAAAGTTTTATCTAGTTAGAATAAGTCTAATTTAAAAACAGAATATACACTTTCATCATACACAAAATTATATTTAAAATGTTAGTTATACTTGTTATATCACAGTATTTTATAAAACAGTATAGTAAGAAAAATAGCTGATTTAAAATCAAGTGTCTAATGAAAACTACGAGCCAAGGAAGAATAATATGTTAGCTAACTGCTGGACGGACTAAAAATAATGGGAAAATCAGATATAGGACTCTTTGAGGAGCACCTATAATTTACCACTTAAGAATTGATGAGGATCTGGGTTTTAGCCTGTTGGTAGTCAGAAATAAGAGAAGAAAAATCGTTAGATACAGAATAAGACAGGTTTTGAGCCTAGGAGAGTATGCCACCTTTAACTGAAATGAAAAAAAATTGAGGAGCTAGTTCCAAACCTATTGTAAAACCAACAATGTTTTCTAATCCTGTCCCTACACACTTAATTTTTAAAAGTAGAAGATGCTTTCAAGACCATTCCACTTTTATTAGTATATAACTTTTGAAGCAGAAATGAGAAGTAGCTTTAAATTGACACCTGCTATCAGGAGTTGCTACTGAGATACATTACTTCTTAATTTTATCTTGAAGATTTTAAAGATTTTGCAGCCGTAGCTTCCACTGCAACTTTATTCCAAAAGCTATCATCAACAGTTGTTTTAACATGCTGATTTCTCCAACACTGTTTAAAATTGAGAACAAAAATAATATCCAACATTTATTATTTCTTGTTTCTCATACTCAAAGAACCTACCTTTTTCCTTGAATAATTAGAACAATGAAATATGAGGCCTAAGGAGTAATTTAAGTTTAGCCAATTACTTTTAATTATAATAGGAGAGGATCACTATAGCAAAACCCTCATTAATCACACTCTACCAATTATGAATTTCAAATTACCTAGATGAAATAAATGCAATTCTTGCTTACCCAAAAGTCTGAAACATTTTTTCATTAAAAAAAAGTTACCTATCGCTACTAAAGATGTATCTGACTGGAAAATCTTTAGCTGTAAAAACTAAGGCTCAATAAATCAGTAAGTCCTCTCAAGGTGTCTTCCTCCAACTTCTAAGTTCAGAAGATAAAAAGCAGCATTCTAAATTCATTAATTCAACACATATTTTAAGTACCTTTTTACTTATGTTATAGTCTTTTACTCATGATGCACTGTTTAACTGTACTAAACAGCGTATTACATTTTCTACCAACTAACCTCGTTTTACTCATTATCATCATCTTATTTAGAAGAAAACATATGTTCTTAGGAGGGAGGTACTAACTAAAGTTTCATTTAACTAGCAATGAAACTCATCCAAAAATCCTACCAACTGTTGGATAAATTTGGCTATCCCTCTTTCTTCCACATACTGATCCCCTGAATAAGCTCATTATACTCACATGAGCCTCTTAGATAGCAGTGGACCATTCTTGAGTCAAGAGTACCTCATTTTACTAGATTAAACTTTACTTGTCCAGATATTTTTACATGGTCAAGATATGTGAGACTTTATTTATCGCACTGTATTATGTTTTCCCTGAAGAAAATTGATAGTATATGTTGCTTTCTATAGCTTTTTTTAAAGAACCAAATAGGAATCCCCCACTCCTTGCCATTCAGCAAAAAACTGGGAAGAAATTATACCTTTTACAATGAATTATTACAATTATGTTTACATTCCAGATTTCTTACTTACTATGATGAACCATGTTGCTTTGTACTCTATGAACAAGCTACATGACAGGAAGAACCAAGGCCCAGCCTTAACCTGACCTCTACGAAAGGACCACAATTTCAGCAAGAACCTAATCCTTACAGAAATTATTCAAATAATATGATTACCCACATATGCAAATAAAGAAAAGAGGTCTAACACAAAACAAAATGGAGGACCTTGTTATCACCAAATGAGTTTAATAAATCTAAAGTTTATTATTAAGCTATTCTGAAAGAGTACAAGTGGTAAAATTCAGAATTCTATCTGTATCACTGATATATCTGAAGTATAAACTGGGCACTTCAGCGAATATATTTTAAGAAAATACATGCAATGTACTTTTTAAAGAGTAAAAATAATATCAACATATCAAATATTATTACTTAAGAATAAAAAACTTTCTGTTTTTTCGGACAGGTCCTAGAACATAGACAAATTCTGCTTCTCCTCTCCTCCTGTTTGGTAGACTCTTCTGAGAGTTGACTCTGACCTAATCACAACTTAACTTTTTCATTATTCAGCATTCTCAAAATAAGCAAGGTATAAATTAAGATTTGTCAGGCAGACAACATATTTCTTGCTTCAAAAGGCATAAAGGAAAAGACAGAAGCAGACTCATTCTATAAGGTTAACATTACCCTAATACAAAACTAGATAAAGACAAGATTTAAAAAAAAGACTAAATGCCAATATCTCTCATTAACAAAAATGCAAAAATCCTCAACAAAATATGAACAAATCGATTCCAACAAAGTGTAAAAATAATTACATACCAGGACCAAGTGATAGTCATCCTAGATATGCAAGCCTGGTTCTACATGCAAAAATCAATTAATATAATTTATCATATCAACAGGCTAAAGAAGAAAAGCTTGCATGATCTTATCAAAAGATACTGGAAAAACATTTGACAAAAACCAATGCCCGTTCATTACTAAAACTCTCTGCAAACTAGGAATAAAAGGTAACTTCCTCAACTTGAAAAGAAGATTTACAAAAAACCTACAGCTAACATCATACTTAATGGCAAGCAACTACAACCTTTCCTGCTAAAGTCAAGAACAAGGAAAGGATGTTCCCTCTTACAGTATCACACCAAAAGTCCTAGTTAATAGAGGAGAAGAAAATAAAAGTATGCTGACTGGGAGGGAAGAAATAAAACTGTCTGTGTTCAAAGATGACATAATGGTCTATCTGAAAGAATCAACCAAAAAACTCTTGGAAATAGTAAGCAATTACAGAAAGTTTGCAGGATACAAGATTAATATATAAAAGTCAACTGCTTCCCAACATCTTAACAATGAATACGTGATATCTGAAATTAAAAACATAATACCATACGTTGCAAGCCCCAAAAATGAAATAAGCATAAATCTCATAAAATTTGTACAAAATCTACACGAGAAAAACTATAAAATTCTGACGGAAGAAATCAAAGAATTAAATAAATACAGAGATACTCTATGTTCGTTGGTAGTTTCTTATTTGGGGCTGCCATAACAAAGTACCACAGAACAGGAGTCTTACAAACAACAGAAATTTATTCCTTACAGTTCTGGAGGCTGGAACTCTATGAGACTAAGGTGCTAGCATGGTCAGGTTCTAGTGAGAGTCCTGTTCCAGGTTGCAGACTTCTTGTTGTGTTCTCATATGGCAGAAAGCTCGAGAGAGTGCTATGGGGTCTTTTTCATAAAGGCACTCTTTTATGAGGACTCCACTCTCATGATCTAATCATCTCCCCAAAGTCCTATCTCCTAATACTATCACATTGTTAGGATGTCATCATATGAATTTCGGGGTGGGGGATGGAGACATATTCAGTCCATAACAGATAGGAAAACTCAATATTGTCAAGATGTCAGTTCTTCCCAACTTCATCTGTAGATTCAACACAATCCTAATAAAAATTCCAGCAAGTTATTTTGTGACTATCAACAAACTGATTCTAAAGTTTATTACAGAGAGTCAAAAGACCCAGCATAGACAACACAGTATTGAAGGACTGACACTATGCAACTTCAAGACTTACTATAAAGTTATGGTAATCAAGACAGTGTAGTTTTGGAGAAATAGAAAAACAGTTCAACAAAACTGAATAGAGAGCCCAGAAACAGACCCGTGCAAATAGTCAACTAATCTTTGACAAAGGAGCAAAGACAATACAAATGAGAAAAGATAGTCTTTTCAACAAATGATGCTGGAACTGGACGTCCACATGCAAAAAACTGAATCTAGATACAGACCTTACACACTTCACAAAAATGAACTGAGAACTGATTATAAATCTAAACATAAAATCCAAAATTAGAAAGCTCCTAGAAGATACCACAGCAGAAAATCACGATGACTTTGGGTTTGAAGATGACATTTTAAATACAACACCAAACGCACAATCCATGAAAAATAATTGGTAAGTTGGACTTTATTAAAATTAAAAAGTTCTGCTCTGTTAAGACAATGTTGAGAGAATGAGAAAACAATCTACAAACTGGGAGAAAATATTTGCAAAAGACTAATAAAAGACTGTTATTCAGAATATACAAAGAACTCTTAAAATTCAACAAGAAAATGAACATCTTGATTAAAAATTGGGAAAAAGTTCTCAACTCAATAGATACTTCACCAAAAGAGATACACTGATTGCATGACTGCAAATAAGTATATGAAAAGATGCTCAACGTCATGCATCAGGTGTCACTAGCAAATTGCAAACTAAAACGAGATACTGCTACATGCCTATTAGAATGGCCAAAATCTAAAACACTGGCAATACCAAATGATGGAGAGAATGCAGAGCAAGAACTCTCATTCGCTGCTCTTCAGAATGCATAATTGGAAGACAGTTTGGCAGTTTCTTATAAAATGAAACAAACTCTTACCATACAATCCAGCAAAAACATTCTTTGGTATTTACCCAATGAGGTGAAAACTTACGCCCATACAAAAATCTCAGCGTCGACATTTTAGCAGTTTTATTCATAACTGCTGAAACTTGGAACCAACCAATATGTCCTCAAGTAGGTAAGTAAAATAAAGTGTGGTACACCCAAAGAATGGAATATTATTCAGCGCTCAAAAGAAATATCAAGCCATGAAAATAACATGTGGGAGGAACCTTAAATGCATATTACTAAGTCAAAAGAAGCCAATTTGAAAAGGCTACATGATTCCAACTACATGACATGATAGAAAAGGCATAGTGGTTTCCAGGGGCAGGAAAGGAGAGAGGATGAATTGGCAGAGTACAGATTTTTAGGGCACTGAAATTATTCTGTATTATACTAAAATGGCAGATAGGTGAAATTACACATTTCTCATATCAAAGCCCATCAAATGTAAAACACCAAAAGCGAACCCTGGTATAAAGTATTAACTTTGAGTGATTTATCAATGTAAGTTCATCAGTTGTAATAAATGTACTATTCTGATACGGAATGTTGATAGGCTATACACATGTGGGGTCAGAGAATATATGGGAACTCTCTGTACTTTCTGCTTAATTTTGCTATGAACCTAAAACTGGTCTAAAAATAAAAGTATCTTAAAAAAAGAAGTTGGAAGATGTGAATGTACTTAATGCCACTGAATTATATACTTTCCAATGATTAAAATTGTAAATTTTAATTCATGTGTATCTTACCACAATTTTTTAAATGTCATAAGAGAGTTCTAGCAACATTAGTAACTAAGAAGGTATTCTATTCAGATGTCTGTCGCCTTTCTGTTTTTTCTCAAACTACCTACCTGACCTTTTGCCTCTCCTTTGAATTCATCTATTTTATAAACATGATCATTTAAGAATGTATTCCCTTCAAAGCAATACTTTTTCTTTTTTTATAATATATTGTTATATAAAGCAATACTTTTTCTAACTACTTCCTTCTGACATGGATCTTCTATACCAGTGATAATGCAAAAGGTGGTCCTTAAACCAGCATCAGCAGCATCAACATCACCTAGGAACTTG